ATTCAAGTCATTCTAGACACATGAAAATATTTTTGGAGGGGCTTCTATTACTTCATATTTATTTTTTCTATTTTCAACCTTAAAAATCAATAAAATTAGTTTCGGGAACTAATAGATGGAATGATCACATTCAAAAGTCTTGCAACTTTTTCCTTAACTTTCAGGCAAAATATTTCCTAAAACTAAAAATTTCAATTTTTTTTTCACAAAATTGTGAGTTATATAATCTACATTTTCCAATCAATTTGGGAATGTTTACGAGAATTATTATAAGCCAAAATTCGAGTCATTCTCGTCACACCACATGTCTCCTAAATATAATTTTAGGGCATTCCCAACATTTTAGACACATAAAAATATTTTTTGAGGGGCCTTCTATTAGTTCATCATTATTATTTTTTTCTATTTTTCAACTTAAAAATCAATAAAAGTTAGTTTCGAGACCTTACAGACAGTACGATCACATTCAAAATTCTTCCAACATTTTTCTTAACTCCCACGCAAAATATTTCCTAAAACTAAAAATTTCAATTTTTTTCTCAAAAACTGTGAGTTATAACCTATGTTTTCCAATCGATTTGGATATTTTTACTTGAATCATTATAAGATAATTTTTGGGTCATTCTTGTCACACCACATGTTCTTTAAATTAATTGTAGGGCATTCCCGAAATCGTAGACACATGAAAATATTTTGGGTTGGGGAAGGGGTTGGGGGGTGCTTCTATTACTTCATATTTATTTTTTCTATTTTCAACTTTAAAAATCACTAAAAATTAGTTTCAGGGACTAATAAATGGAATGATCACATTCAAAAGTCTTGCAACTTTTTCCTTAACTCCCAGGCAAAATATTTCCTAAAACTAAAAATTTTGATTTTTTTCACGAACTATGAGTTACTCACTTTTTCCAATCGATTTGGGATTTTTTTGAGAATCTTTATAAGTCAAAATTCGATTCATACTCGTCGCATCACATGTTTTCTAAAATTAATTTTAGAGTGTTCCAAACATTTTAGACACATAAAAATATATTTGGGAGGCCTTTTATTAGTTCATATTTATTTTTTCTAGTTTTCAACTTTAAAAATCAATAAAAAATAGTTTTGGGACCTCATAAATGGTAGGGTCACATTCAAAAGTCTTGCAACTTTTTCCTAACTCCCAAGCAAAATATTTCTTACAACTAAAAATTTCGATTTTTTTCATAAAAACTGTGAGTTATAACCCATGTTCTCCAATTGATTTTGGAATTTTACGAGAATCATTGTAAGTGAAAATCCCACGTTTTCTAACCGATTTGGAATTTTTTACGAGTCATTATAAGCAAAAAAATTTGAGTCATTTCGTCGCACCACATGGTTTTAATTTTAATTTCAGGGCGCTCAGAACATTTCAAACACATAAAAATATTTTTAGGGGCCCTTTTATTAATTCAAAATTTTTTCTTCTTCTATTTTTCTACTTCAAAAATCAATAAAAACTAGTTTTGAGACCAAATAGATGGTAAGATCACATTCAAAAGTTTTGCTGTGACATCCCACATCGCCCAGGGGTGATTCTTATATGTATATTCCCATCCTTACCTAGCACGAGGCCTTTTGGGAGCTCACTAGCTTCGGGTTCCATGGGAACTTCGAAGTTAAGCGAGTAACGCGCGAGAGCACTCCCAGGATGGGTGACCCATCGGGAAGTTCTCGTGTGAGTTCCCAGAAACAAAACCGTGAGGGCGTGGTCGGGGCCCAAAGCGGACAATATCGTGTTACGGTGGTGGAGCGGGCCGGGGAAGTGATCTCGCTCGGGCCGGGATGTGACAATTTGGTATCAGAGCCTTACCCTGGCCGCGTGTGTGCCGACGAGGACGTCGGGCCCCTAAGGGGGGTGGATTGTGACATCCCACATCGCCCAAGGGTGATCCTTATAGCTATCCCTCCTACCTAGATGAGGCCTTTTTCAATTTCGAGTTCCATGGAACTCCAAGTTAAAGTAGCGGCAAAGCAGTGGGCCCATCGGATTTGAGTTCCCAACAACCGTGAGTGGTATAACGGACCAATATGTATGGTTGGAGCGGGCCCTGGAAGGGTGCCGCCCGGGCCGGGTAGTTGAATTTGCAACATTTTCCTTAACTCCCAGGCAAAATATTTCCTACAACTAAAAGTTTCAATTTTTACCAAAAAAAAAAATTAAATTAATTGTGAGTTATAACCCACGTTTTCCAATCGATATGGGAATTTTTACCGGAATTATTATAAGCCATAATTCGAGCAATTCTCGTCGCACCACATGTTTCCTAAATATAATTTTAGGGCATTCCCAACATTTCAAACACATCAAAATATTTTTGAAGGGCCTTCTATTAGTTCATATCAATAAAAATTATTTTGGGACCTCATAGATGGTCGGATCACATTCAAAAGTCTTGCAACATTTTCCTTAGCTCCCAGGCAAAATATTTCCTAAAACTAAAATTTTTGATTTTTTAACAAAAATTGTGAGCACCCACGGTTTTCGATCGATTTGAGAATTTTGACGAGAATTATTATAAGCCAAAATTCGAGTAATTTTCAACCACATGTTTTCTAAATATAATTTTAGGGTGTTCCAAACATTTCAAACACAAAATTATTTTTTAGGAGCCTTCTTTCATATTTATGTTTGGTATTTTCAAGTTTTAAAATCAATAAAATTTAGGTTCGGCACCTTATAGATTTCATGATCACATTCAAAAGTCTTGCAACATTTTTCTTAATCCCCAGACAAAATATTTCCTAAAAGTAAAAATTTTGATTTTTTTTCACAAAAAATATGAGTTATAACCCACGTTTTCCAATCGATTTGAGATTTTTTACGAGAGTCATTATAAGCATAAAATTTGAGTCATTTTCGTTGCACTACATGTTTTTAAAGGGTGTTCTGAACATTTTAGACACATAAAAATATTTTTGGGGGACCATCTATTAGTTCGTATTTATGTTTGCTATTTTCATAGAGGGTAGGATCACAGTCAAATGTCTTGCAACATTTTTCTTAACTCTCAAGCAAAATATTTCCTGCAACTAAAACTTTCGATTTTTTTACAAAAATTGTGAGTTATAACCCACAGTTTCTAATCGATTTGGGAATTTTACAAGAATTATTAGAATCCATGATTCGAGCAATTCTTGTCGCACCACATGTTTCCAAAATATAATTTTAGGGCATTCCCAACATTTCATAAACTTAAAAATATTTTTGAGGGGCCTTCTATTAGTCATATTTATTTTTTCTATTTTTCAACTTTAAAAATTAATAAAAATTAGTTTCGGGACCTCATAGATGGTAGGATCACGTTCAAAAATCTTGCAACATTTTCCTTAACTCCCAGACAAAATATTTCTTAAAACTAAAATTTTTGATTTTTCACAAAAATTATGAGTTATAACCCCCGACTTCCAATCGATATGGGAATTTTTACGATAATTGTTATAAGCCAAAATTTGAGTAATTATCATCGCACCACATGCTTCCTAATTATAATTTAGGGCGTTCCCAACATTTCAGACACATAAAAATATTTTTGAGGAGCCTCATTTCATATTTATTTTTTCTATTTTTCAACTTTGAAAATCGAAAAATTAGTTTTAGCACCTTATGGACATTGTGATTACATTCAAACATCTTGCACCATTTTTTGTAACTCCCAGCCAAAATATTTCCTAAAATTTAAATTTTCTATGTTTCACAAAATCTGTGAGTTATAACTCACGTTTTCCAATTGATTTGGAAATTTTTACAAGAATCATTGTAAGTAAAAATTTCAATAATTCTTGTCGCACCACATGTTTTTAAATTTAATTTTAGGGCGTTCCAAACATTTCAAACCCAAATATTTTTGGGGGGCCTTCTATTAGCTCAGATTTATGTTTTCTATTTTTCAACTTTAAAAATTAATAAAAATAATTTTCAAGAACCAATATAGATGGAAGGATCACATTCAAAGTCTTGTAACATTTTCCTTAACTCCCAGGTAAAATATTACCTCAAACCCACGTTTTCCAATCTATTTATCAAATTTTACAAGACTCATGATAAGCTAAAACTGGAGTTATTCTTGTCATGGCACATGTTTTCTAAATTTAATTTAAAACATTTCGTACACTTCCGACGTATAAAAGGATATTTGGGGGCCTCTATTGGTTTATATTTATTTTTCTATTTGTTAACTTAAAAATCAATAAAAACTAATTTCAAGACCTAATAAATTGTATGATCACATCCAAAGGTTTTACAACATGTTCCTTAACTCAATGCAAAATATTTCTTAAAATTAAAAGTTACAATAAATTCACCTATGCTTTCCAATCGATTTGAGAATTTTTATAAGTATCGTTACAAGTCAAAATTCAAGTCTTTATCGTCGCAACATATGTTTTCTAAAATTAATTTTAGGATATTCCGAACACTTCAAACATTAAAATATATTTGAGGGATCTCCTATTAGTTCTTTTTTTTTTTTTTTTCAATTTTAAAAATCAATAAAAACTAGTTTGGGACCTAATAGATAGTAGGATTACATTCAGAAGTCTTGCTACATTTTCTTTAACTCCCGCGCAAAATAATTACTCAAACTAGGAAATCAAATTTTTCACAAAAACTAGGAGTTATAAAAGGGACCCATGAATGGTGGTAAAATTTCGTTAAACAACATAAAAATCGAATGTTTATGACACGAGTTACGTCTATGCACATGCTCGAAGCACATCTTTGCCAACGACCCTTCCAAAAGAGAGTTACAAAGTTTACGAGTGACACAGAGCACAAATGACCTCAAGTCAAATTAGGAATGAACTCAAACTGGGAGTAGAAGTAGAGATTTTAAACAAAAGTTGGTGACAAACAACGGACAAAACAGCCAATCTCGGGCAAATGGTCAAATAACCAAAAAGAAAATCAAAAGAAAATCGAAAGGAAAATGAAATCAAAGATCACCACGAAAGGATGAGAAAAATAGAGCAACAAAGAATAATGGTGCATTCAGAGAACCGCTTTTCATTTTGTAATGCTCCGGTGTACTACGGTACAGCAACAAGGACATAATCAAACCCAATTCTATCCCTAAGAAAGAAAACTAGGATCTTTACAGACTAAAAGAAAAATCAGTGGCTAGAAAGCAATGTATAACGACTGATTGAAAAGAAAGGGAAGGGAACTGTCAAATACAACTTTCAACAGTTATGAAGCATCTGCATGAACTACCTTTACACTGCAACAGATACCGTTGCATCAAAACTGTACTCAACTAATAAATAATTACAAGCCTTTTCTGGTCCAAAAATCCATGTCAAATATTTACCTGAATGTTTTACAGCAGTGTATCTGCTACCAAGTGGATTCCCTTTCCTCTGTGAGCGACCAGATAATAAACCCTCCAAAACAGAGGTTGCTGCTTCTGTTTTAATCTTTTTCCGAAACCTGTTAACAGCATGCATAGTTATGATGTCATTCCAGACTAAATACCTCATCAGAAACAAAATTCAAAAGGAAAAGTAAAAGCTCCACAAGAAATGATTAGACAGGCTCAAGTAAACAGATTCTTAGAACTAAACGTTCAAAATAAATACAGACGCGCATGGCTCTCAAATAGCTCGCACCTTTATTGAGACAAGAAGAACATAAAAGGAGCTAAAAAAGGAGAATTCTACATCAGCAAATATCTAAGAAAACATTCTGAACACCATCATAGGAGCTGATTGGCACAAAATATGTAGCATGCAACTCCCGACACTCTACTGAATGCACAAAGTGAGCCACTCATACAGCACCACGCATTACTCAATTAAATTCTGTTTTGATAAGTGGCATGTCATCGACACGTTGCAACATCAACTAAAAATAAAAATGCAAAACGTGAACCAGACAGCACACACTAAAATACACAATGACATCTCTTGCCATTTGAATGAACCAGAAGGTGGAGTGAAGGAATGAAACTCAGATGTGCCTCTAACTCAATGAGTCAGATAAAACTTATATAGGTTACCTTAGCTGACCCTTCACCTTCAACAGAAGAATAAGATAAATATCCCAATCAAAGGTCACATATATTTGAGTTTATATAATCCCAAAAAATATATAATACATACTGACATTTCCTTTTCGAATCATGTATATATTCACTCAGAATCCGTTAACTTCAGCTTTACAGTCAAGGGCTGCAGTGCTGATACTTGGTTCTACATGCTGAACCTCACAATTAACTTATAATAGCAAACAGTATATTCCAACATTCTAAATGTGACAAAAGATAATGGCTGGTTAATTGTAATACTGGATTCTCCAATCATCTAACAAGACGTCATTATCATTAGAAATCGGCAGAAAAGGGCTATCATTCACAACAATTAACAACAAAATGTGACTAAGATTCAAAAAGAAAAATGCGTGACCCGATTATACATTATTAGAGGGATTCCAAGTGCACCTTCAGGATCACGAAAGACATTGGTAATATCTTAAGAGCAAACCAGATAAAAACTAGGCATGCACTTTTCATCTCACCTAAAAGAGTGCTCTAAAGTCATATACCAATAAATCAGTCACTTCTCACCTTACCCGAAACCTTCTAATAATAGAAAGAAAGTATAAACCGAAAGGCAACAGATTAAAGTGATTCTATAAAGAAAAAAGAAAAACTCTCAATGATGCATGAAATTGACAACAAATTACGCTTGGGTATTGAATGACATCCCAAAATGTGATTACCGCAATTCCCACTAAAAACCAAAATTTTAAGAGATCACTTAACCGTCAGCATATGCCAAACCGTAGCAACAATATAACAAAATTAAGGCAAACCACATACTCAACCTCACCTAACTTGGAAATACCAGGACCCATCCAAGAGGAGAACAAATATGAAATATCTTTTTGACTGTTTCATAGCTGCAAGCACAACCAAGGACATGATTCCAAAAAAAAAAAAAAAACCAAACTTTTATGAGATCACTTAACCCTCAGCAGGCAAACCACATACTCAACCTCACCTAACTTGGAAAGACCAGGACCCATCCAAGAGGAGGAGAACAAATATGAAATATCTGTTTGACTGTTTCATAGATGCAAGCACAACCAAGGACATGATTCCAAAAAAAAAAAACCTAACTTTTAAGAGATCACTTAACCCTCAGCATATGCCAAAACATAGCAACAACATAACAAAATCACGGCAAACCACACACTCAACCTCACCTAACTTGGAAATACCAGGACCCATCCAAGAGGAGGAGAACAAATTTGAAATATCTTTGACTGTTTAATAGATGCACAAGCAAGGACATGCTCATCCGAGTGGAGTCAAGAACACAAATTGAACTGATTGAGAAGACAATGCATTTTACGATGCAACATGCACATAAAGATAATAACAAAATAAATTCATCTAAGATTAAAAGTTGGTGCATTGAATTGATTTCTATCTATTTTGATATCGGGTATATTTACATCATTTAAAAACTTAAAGAAACAAGTGTACTAACCAAGAAAGAAACGTGGGCATACACTTGGAAGCAAATGTTCTCAGGATACATTTGTCAGGAAAAATTACAATATACAGAGTCCTGCCAAGAGCCTCCACAAGTTCTCAATAGTGCCTTCAAGTGGTACTTGGGTTTTGCAAACAAGATGAATCCAACTTTCAAGCACAGCATAATTTGACGTAACTAATTGATATGCCACTGTCAATGCTGAAACAAATTACAGAAAATAAATAAACAGATTCATCACCCAGAGAGAGGGAATTATCAATCTAAGCCATCATGGAAACAGTTTGAATATGCCTAAATGACGGTTCAAAATGCAGCACACTAATTTGCACTTATAGAGTCAAGGATGAGAAATCATATGAAATCTTTGAGATGATTCTGATTAAAAGATTGTGGAGTCAATTATCAAAAAAGAAGTAGCACAAGAGGCCTCCATCGATTCAAATTAACAGAGGTTTCAATGAGGAAAGAATCAATTAAACTGTAGTAGGATGAAGCCATACAGAGAAGTGCAGGAGCTGAAAAACACAAAGTTAAATGTTGAACAAAAAAAGAAAAAACTTACAAGAATAGTTATGTAGAGCTAAGGTTCACTACTAAGCTGGTCTCCAACAATTAACAGCAGATATGTCTGGTCTACATGGCAAGATCTGGGAAGCACTGTGACCTGGAAAAGTGCAGCCAGAAAGTCACTTAATCACTGCAACAATAGCCCAGTGTTTTAAACATGCAAGCAAACTTCAAAACGAGTTTACGTAAACATCACCTGATATTGGAGCTCCAGTTGGAACATTATTAGGGGCAGGACGCTGAAAAGCAATATTATTAGGTTGTGGCCTATCAGGCGGTGGGCGAAAATAACCTGTCATAGCAGAACCGAATATAATATAAGTCGAGATGCATTGGGCAGTGCAAATAAGGCAAAGGAAACTTTGGCCATCACAACTAAAACATTATATAAAAACACTAATAAATTATTAGTACAACTTAGGGCCCATGATATGATTTTCTAGCCTCAAAGAGAAAATGAGTTTTAACAATAATACAAGCAGAAATTCTAAGGTGCTACCATTCCCACCTACCTTCTATTGATCTGTCACCTAGATTTAGTTACAAGGTAGGTGGGAAAATGGATAGGTGGGTGGGAATAATAGCACTGTACACTATGCAGGCAACTTCTTAATGGATAGCTTCGCCACCAGGACCAGAACCCTATACCTTCATGGACAAATGGTGGTCCCGGATGTGGGGGTCTTCCTCCATTCATCCAAACACCACGTTGTTCATCGGCAACAAATCTTCTTTGACTATCAGGTGGGGGAGGCAAAGAGTATGAACCGTGGTATGGTTGCTGAGGATGCTGCTGAGGATGCTGAGGATGTTGTTGAGGATGCTGCTGAGGATGTTGTTGAGGATGCTGCTGAGGATGTTGCTTAGTATAGGAGAAATGACTTGACGGATTTTGTGGTGGGGCAGGAGGTAAAGGCCTTTGAGGGAAAGGTGTATTAACTTGTTGAAATGGTTGGCTTGGTTGAGAGATTTGTGCACTTAGAAACAGGTCATTATGTCCATGTTCTAGCGGCCTTGTCGAATTAAATCCAGAAGGTTCTCGAGGACCACATACTCCAGCAGGAACAAAGCAAGCTTGCTGCTGCGGAAACATCTCCTTCTTGGCAGTCGCATCAATAGGGCCAACATGAGGAGCATTTCCAGAAACTTGAACATGCTGGTTACCCTGTATGAAGAAATAATGTCATAATATATACAACAATAACAATGTAGCACTGATAAAGGTGGAGAAAGCAAGAAGTCTTACACTTGTGCTGCAGTATTCATGAGGTATAGGAGGTTGATATGCCACCTGCGGTGAAGGATGCATTGATGATTGCAGAGGCAGCATCTGTTGCGGTAGTAATGAAGCCTGTGTTGGTATAGATGACTGGGGAATCAACAATGGTTGATGACCAGAAGATGGTAGGGGAGGAGGTGGCTGTGATGGGGGAGGTGGTGGTGGTGGTGGTGATGGAGATAACGGAGGTGGTGGTGGGGGTGGTGGAGGTGAGGGAGGCAAAGGTGGGGGTGCAGGAGGAGAATCAAGAGGCAATGGTGGAGAACCCTCTGGAAGAGGGGGCAAATCAGTGCAAGCAATTGAAGCTGGCTCCATGACCCTATCTGATCCCTGCTGTTGTGGATCCATTTCAAAAGAACCATTAATAAACAAGGGTCTTTCTTCCTTTGGGTGTCCAGAAACATCCTCCATTTCAAGTTCACCATCTACATCCTCCAAGATGCAATGTCGCCTATCATTAGGAGTCACCACACATGATTCTGACTCCCCAGAAGCATGGGTAGTTTCCATTGGTGAGGGATGGCTAGTCTCCTTATATGAACAGCTAGGAAGTTCTTCTTCTTCTTCTTCATCGTCATCTTCAAACGCATGAGAAGACAGAAGTCCAGGCAGCTGAAATGTAGCATTACTGACAAAAGAGGCAAAAGACAACAACACGTATTAAATTCCAGAAAAAGTGCAAGCAACAACACAGACATACAAATAATAGAAGCATTTTGATAACAGATCTTTAAGTACAATTTCACATAACTGAACCCAATAATCGAACAAGACCATTGCAAGTTGCAACAAGTGTTCCACTGAAACAAACACTTGTTCCTTGAGCATTGCAAACCAGATAATCATTATTTATTTTCTCCTCTAAACAATACTATCATGCAATTTTCTTTTGGTGAGTACTTCATGGAAAAACAAATAACTATAATTTCAAAACACAATCCAACAAGCAATTAAAATAATACATTTTAAGAAGAAAAGAAATCATTGAATTTTCCATGCAACAACATTTGGATTCCTTCAACTGTATCTAACAAACAAATAATTAATTAAAAATTCGTTGAATTGCATGTACATAAAATATAAGAAAGATATATTCATCGTATCCCTTATATGTTCAAGTCTAAGTATAATGGTTTTCCAAATTAAACATGACACTGAGATTGGATTTGAGTTCCATAACCAAATGTAAGTTACTTCAAGTAACAATAACAAACAGAATCTTATAGTCATGCCTTTAGAGGACCAAAAATCGGCTTAATAGAACAAAAGAAGAAAATAATACAATAAAACTACAACCATTCAAGTAAAAAGTTAGTACTAAATACCTTCCATACTCATCCACAAACATTCCTTCCATTTCTCTGATTGGATCATCTATGGCACGCTCAGCTCGAGATGGACGTCTAAAGGAGTAACCAGCAGTTGAATCATCATTTGAAACTCCAATGTCATCCATGTAAGGACGAAGAACAGATTCAGGAAAGATTTTTCTCTCTATCCACAGCCGTAAAACCTGGAAGAGAAGTCTGTTTCACTTCTTGTATAAATGTAAGAAAAACTCATCAAATTATATAGCAGCGCACTTACCTTAAGACATTGACGACGATTATCACGAGCACCAGAACCAGGTGGAGCGGCAGCACCTAGAAGACGTGGCAATGCTGCTTGAACCATCGGAACATATGAAGCTCCCGCAATGCCTAAATATCAATAAACAATAACTATCTTTAATATTTTTTACAACGAAATACACAGAGAGAGAGAGAGAGAGAGAGAGAGAGAGAGAGATAAATATTTATTATTACGAGTTCTTTCAAGGGCATGTACCTTTTTGATTATGAGAGATTTGTGTGATGGAATCCACAAGAAAGAAAAGATCAACCTTACGATGGACACTAGGCTCGCTCTCCAACTTCCGGATTAGTAGTTCCACAACCTGCATCAACATTTTAAATTATAACTGAAAGAATCTACAAATCAACATCATGGTAATCCATGATAATCATCTTTGATTTTGTGTGATATATTTATTTATTGGTCAGTGTAAGCAGTTCTAGATAATCTACCAACTTCGTTTGCAAACTTGACATGCATTACAAAATCTAGATTCGCAACCTAAAGGAATGCACCAACTACTATTTAAAGTTTTCTTTATCTCAGCGTAAGATAAATTGTGGAAAGAAATGACAACTGCTAATTTGTTATGGTAGGTTGGACATGAGATTTAAAATTCAAAAGGACCAGTGTAATGGCTCTGGGTGAAATCAAAATTTACAAGATGAGCAGTTTCAAACTAGAAAGATGTCTTCACTTGGCCTCACTCTCACCCATCTGATTTTGAACTTTTATGCTCTTACACATTTGCATCAATCAAGACTCAAGATTAATGATTGTTAGTATAGAAAATAAAATTCTCACTACAGAACTATTTTGAGCTTATTTTTTAACAAATAAGAGTACACTCACACATGTAATGGACATATATTACAAATTATAAACGTATCATCCAGCAAACATATGGAAAGCTTTCAAATTGATATAAGTTATTGGATAAATTAATCAAGTGATGAATGAAAAAGGAACGAAAATATTTTATTAATGAATGGTAATCATCTTTGAAAAGAATAAAACAACAAAAGATAACAGAAATATGAATAAGCCAAGGAGCCTACCTCATTGGCAATACCATACTTGGCACAATCAATGGCAAGACGAGTTGCACGACTAATACTTTCTTTAGTCCTAGACAAAGTTTCAATCATTCCCTCAAAAGAATCACGAGCAACAGCTGCCTCGGTACCACCACTAAGCGATCCTCCAGCAGTTCGATGCCCAGAACTAACTCTTCTCTCTGAAATTTCCTCTAAATCAAGTTGAACTTGTGATACATACTGTCGACCATGAGCAGCCGGGGAAACTACATTTGTGAGTTGATTGGATCCCGGGATATCTGCCTGCAACGTACTGTTGGTAATGGAAAAAAACCCCTGAACTGCAGAAGGGCTGGGGCTCCTCCCTTGCATATCTGAGTTAGATACAAGAGTTGGATTGGAAAATCCAAGAAAGAAATTTTGCGACTGAGCTTGTTTCCTTTTTGCTTGTGCGACTGCAATAAGATGCCTCATAGACTGAGATGATTCTGGAGTTCTAGAATCCATGGATAAGCCAATTTTATCTTCTCTGCCAACTTCCATTCTGTTATTAGGAAAACAAGCAACAAATTATCAACCATAAGAAATGCAAGTAGCAACCTGCACACAATGAAGAAAGAGCATGCATACCTTTCACCAGAAAATAAAATGTACTCGGTTGCATTTTCTGTTAAGATAGCGGGGTCGTTGATCTGAGAGATTGATCGTGGAGTAGGTTTAGACTTTTCTCCAGAAGATGCAGGCTTGTTTCTTGCCTGATTATGAGAAGAAACCGAACTGTTAGACACTAAACCTGAACCCTTGCTACACAAAGCCTGAGCCTTCTTTTGAGTACCGGTACTAGAGACTTTAACAATAGATTTTGTGGGTTTCTGCTGTTCCACAACTGATTTAGTGGTAGAAATTAACTGGGGAGACTTCTTAGGAGAAATCACAGTTGGTTTCTCCTCCTTCAGCAACTGCCCAAGTTCTGATTTTTTTGGACTGTGATATACATGCGCTGCCTTTTCAAGACTCTTTTTGTCAATTTGAGGTTTCCTTTCCGGCCTCACCTCATCCACGTGAGGTTTTCTAGGTGACATAAAACCATCATTTAACTGGGAAGATGATTCCTTTGTGCGGCCCATTTGAAATTCAGTAGGACATTTGGTACTCTGTTGAGCAGTATCTGACCTCTCATGATATTCATTCGTGCTCTTTACAGCGTCTGAAGAGTATGAAGGCGCTTTAGTATTTCGGGAAGATCCTCCATGAACTGGTGTTTTGGGTTTTTCCTCCTCCTCCTCATCATCATAGAGGCACACAGCTCTCCGTTTTCTCTGCGTAGGAACTCTGACATCAGTTGAGCATGACATATCATTCTTCTTATCGTCAGAGACCAAAGCATCAGAATCAGACATAGCCTCCAATGCTCGACGGCGCCTCTTTGTAAGGGGTAGCACAGCTTCATCACCAGGACCACTGGGTCCAATAACATTTTTGGACCTGGAAACTAGATGGTTCTCTCTTTTCACACGTGAATTTGACAAATTTGAATCCAATTTTTTTAATGTCTTGTCATCAACATCAGAACTAGGAGATAGACTCTTCACAATTTTAGATACTGAACCCTTTGGGCCACTATCCCCTGCATCTACATGTTTTGACTTTTTGGTAGGAAGTGAAGGACCATTTGTTACCAAATTAGGCTTTCCAAGCCCTGGTTGAGACCCCTTTGTCCTTCCTGAATGTTTGTCTCTGGCCTGTTCCTCAGGATCATCCATCACATCATCTGGCACCTTGACTTGCTTATTGGCTTTAACCAGGTCTTTTGTCTTTTTCCCAACCTTAGTACCAGTATCTGATTTTTGAGCATCTGGGGAGAACTCCCTCTTCCTGCCACCAGAGCCAAGTTTGCCTTTTGCTCCATCTTTCAATCGCTCACCAGATTGTGGCTGATCAACAAGACCAACAGAGCTATCATCCTTCGATGATGTTACAGCAGAACGATTTTTTTGTTCCTCAATTGTGCCATCATGTTTCCTCTTTGATCCAGTAACCATCTTTGACAACTTGTGGCCATTTGCTACAGACCTCTGTCCATCACTGTGTTTCTTAGTGCGATCATCTTCTTCATGCTTACTACCAGAAACTTCTTCCTTCTCTGGCTTAGATTTCTTTAATACCTCTTTTTTAGGCGGTGGAACTGCCACCATTTTATTTTTTCTCTCAGGAGAAAAAACAGGAGAACTCTCTTCTGCTCCACACAAGGTAGATGGATTTACAACATCATTGTCATTTTCACCTTGTAACTGTGAACAACGTTCCAGCTTAGGACAAATATCACCCGAGGCTTCTTCTTTGTCTGTTTGTCCATTGGAATCCCGTACACCCTCCCCATCCCTTAAGTCAACATCAATCCCATTATCTTCTACGCCATCACCAGACGGAGCATCACATCCGGGGTCTGATCTATCAGTATCAACTCTCAAATCATTTGATTTCTTTTTTTGTAACTCATCAAATGCCTGACATATGTCCTTCACAGCTTGGGAAAAATTCTTAGTTTTAGCATGACAACGACCTAATAATTTGCTTTTTGCCTCACTAGTGAATGCCTGAATATCTGCAGGGGCAACAAAAGCTCTGTGGAGTGGGGAACACAACAAGAAAACAACATCAGTAGCAGTCAGTTTAACCAGCAGGAAGAAAAAAAAAAAAAAAACAGTTGAATTAGAAAATGAGCAGAGCAAATAAAACACAGAGAGAAGAATTATGGACTCTAGATTTGCTCTAAATGCTTCCACTGGTTTTTTTTTTTTTTTTTTTTTTTTGGTTTCTATGCGCAATTCAAAGTGGTTTTGGAAAAAGCATCAAGTTCTATATTTAATAGATTTGAGCGCCAATTAATATATTAATTATAAAGCAGACCACATTTGACACTTGCCATAAAAATTTCTGTTTAGTTGTATAAAATGTAAACTTCGCTAGTGAAATTGTTCACCAGCAGGAAACAAGTTCCCTCAGATTTTCTTCCCAGTAGAAACTATTAATTCAAAATCCAATACTCCAACTATTGAAATCCTAATCAACTCAACGCATTTTGGCAGACTATGTTGTCATTTTCGCCTTGCAGTATCTACATTCTAGGCTGTTTATATACTAGTGTTTTCATTTTAAATAATAAATGCCCAGGTATAACAGGTAGTTAAATGTAAATGTGACAACAAACTGTATTCACTTGCATATACTAATACAAAATTATCAAGTGAGATATACTTACATCTCTTCCGTTCCAAAAAAATTGTCAATTTCACCTTTCTGTGATCTACACCCTAGGTTGTCAATATATTAGTGTCTTATTTCTTGTTATGAAAACTCTATGCACAAGAGGTATTTCAATGTAAATGTAAGACATTTCACGAACAAACTTTATACAATGTACATGAACAAATCTGAAATTATCAAATGGGATATACTTACATCTCTTCCGTTCCAAAAAATTGGACAAAATATTTCTTCGGATCAGGGACCTTCTTCCAATCTTCAGGCCTGCTAATCTGAAAATTCAAACCCACAAGAGCTCCCTCAAAGGCCAACCGAATTGTCACATAAACAAAAATCTGACAGAGTTACTCTTATCGATGAAAACATTAAACATGGTCCATTCAATTCTAAACATGCCAAATTACTGAAATTTCATGCTCTGTGTTTATACAGCAGAAGGCAATATAATTTAGTTTAAAAACTAACACAGCCATCTTATGAATCGAATATCTTATTCGCCAAGACAAAAACAAAAACAAGATATGTTCAATCCTATTCCTTAAAGTACATTGCAAAGTTTATGGCAAGATATGCACGATGTCTAGGATGCATCACAATGTTCAGTCCCATTCAGTAAACTGTACAAGTCCGAAAGCCTATGAAATTTCGCAAATTTTGTTAATATTTATACTCTACGAGAAGTCAAATTCAAGTAGGGTACATTGATCAACAAGCAATTCAAGGAAAACCCTAATGCCCCAAAACACACACACACAACCACAAACATAAACGCAAAAGAAAAAACGAAAAAAAATGCACACAGCCGAAGATGAAGAGGCAGAATCCGTAACAGAAACAAAGCGAAAGGGAATAAAAAAGGCAGACCTTGGCGGGCCAATAGGGGAAGCCCTTGACCTTAGCAAGAACAAGATCGCCGAGACTCAACTGGCTCTTATCCTTGGCCTTGTTCGCTCCGCGTCTACGCCCCGGAGCCATGGCGTGGGCGCCGCAATCTTAGAAAACAAAAGCAAAAACCCTAATTGAATCGTCGCAATCGAATCGCACAAGCAGCTACGAAAACCCTATACAAGTCCCAGAGACTCGGAATTGGAATCGTCGCCCGTTGTCGACGGCCGGTGGATGCTCCGGCGCCGGGGGTACTAGGTCATCGGAAGACAGGGCTCTGCATTCACAATTCCAGCGAGCCAACGAGAGAGAAGGAGAGAGTGTGTGGGTGTGTGAGAGAGGAATTGAGGCGGTCGAAGGGCGAGAGATTGTAGATTTTGGGGGAAGGAGGGCTTGGGCTTTCAAGCTTTGGGGGTGTTGGGGGCACCAAGTGGAATTTTGCCCGAATCGGAATGGGACGTATCGGTCATTTTACGATTTTTCTTTTATTCTTGGTTGACACTGTACATACATACATATATATATATATTAGTACTTGGGACAAAAACATTAAACTCTTTTTTAAAAAAAAAATTAATTTAGGAAGATGAGGTTGGTCGGGACTCGCTCCGAGAGATGGTTGTATGTGCTGTCTGTGTACGTGGCAAGGACTCCTTAATCTTTTACATATCTCTCTTAATTTCCTCTTCCCGGAATTTTCTTTCCATCTATTCTATAAATCTAAAATGTAAATATCTTTGTTCACTTTATAGAAATAGCAACTAGGATATATAAGCAAAATATGTAGAAGAAAAAAATTAAGAAGGGATACAATATTAAGTGGCTTAGAGCGTTTACCTGCTCCCGCCAATAAAGTCTATCAACATTCTTTTTCTCATCGCTCAAAAGTCGAAGATTGTAAGTGATAGAACTTTTTTATGAAAATACTGAATTCCAAATGAATGCTAAGGGGAGAAACAAATCATGTTAACTTCCGGGACGGACCGACACATGAGAAATATAATTCTGAGGAGTTCAATTGCAAACTAAAAAGGAGAGATGGTTTCTCACTGAGACCTAAATCTCTGATCCTACTTTGAACTTTTATCCTTTTCTTTGCCTTCATTGGCAACAGCATCAGTCACCAGAGCCATTGGTCTTTCATCAATCACCTCATCAATGATTCCGAATGCCTTTGCCTCTTCTGGGGTCATAAAATTATCCCTGTCCATATTCTTCTCAACTACATCTACTGGTTGCCCCGTATGCTTCGAGTACAACGCATTAAGGGAATCCCAGACACGAACCATCTGCTTCGTGTGAATTGTCATATCTTTTGCTTGTCCGCTGTACCCGCCTGAAGGCTGATGAATCATAACTGAAGCATTTGGGAGAGACCGCCTCTCACCCTTGGCGCCCGCAGCTAAGAGAAGAGAAGCCATTGATGCAGCTTGGCCCAAACAAATGGTACTGATTGGTGACCGAATGTACTGCATCGTATCATAAATTGCAAGACCTGTATGAACTAATACATAATCATCACCGTGTAACAATGCTTGTGAATTTTAACCAAATCGTGCATTGAGTCTCGTCTATTTCTTTATTTATTGTTAACATCTTCTAACAAGTCTCATCTATTTATGTATAGTACAAAACAGAGCTATACTGTTCAAAAATTAAATCAGAAGTATCGGCAAATTAAAGAATCATAACATATCATTGTAACTGATAAGAGTACAAACATATAGCGTTGTAATAACGTTTGTAGTAGAAACTCCTTGACTTTCTGTATTTTATCGGAATAGCTTAAACTACAATTGATTCCCCCCACCCCAAAAATAAATAAAAAAAAAAAAAAAAAAAAAACTAGTTGCTGGTACAAGGCTTACAATTAGTTGACTTCTTGACCCAAGAAAACACATAAAGAATAAGGATTTATCCTAATTTCGTGGAGTATGATTTGGAACATCATAATCAAGTATGGCTTTAGCCATATCTTGTTTCCCCTTCAATTTGTATCTACCTTTTCAGTATGCTTTAGGAGAGCACGTAAGTCTCGGCTCCAAAGCCTTCAGTTTCTAAACAGCAAATTTGAAGATGGATAAAATCATAAAAGAGCTCTGTAGCAGTTATGTGGTTAGTCCTCAGTTTTGGCGACCTTGATTCTTATTGTGAAAGACTAATGGAGCATAGACTTGCATGCTTTTAAGCATGTCAAATATTGAGACACTTCAAGAAAGTGAAGAAGTGCAAGACACAACTCTATTCATGGTTGTGATACCTAGTTTTTCTTCTTAATATTCTCGTAAAGTTATACAGAGACAAGTTGTCTGGTTACCAAACTCTAATTCCATAAGAACCTACCATCTACATCTACCTTAAGAAAACTCATACAGCATTTTCCTTAAATGTCCAATACTTATAATCCCACACAACGCGATTATGAGGCGGAGGCTAGTGTCAAAAGGGGTAGAAGAAGACCTAGCAAGACTTGGAAAGAGACTTTAAGAAAAGACACAGAGTACTTGGAGGTAACAGAAGACTTGGCACAAAACCAAGCCCAGTGGCGTTCTAGGATACAGCCGAGCCCACTTGGTGGGATAAGGCTTTGTTGTTGTTGTTGTTGTTTGTTGTAAGGATACAACTGTAGTAGCCAAGATAGAGTTCAGATACCATGTAATATTACGGTGAAAAGGACCCATGTCGGAGTGTACAACTACAAAGTGAGTGCCACAAACACTGGTGATATTTCGTGTACATGGTCATACAATGGTAATTTAAAAGTGGAGATCCATCATCAACTATTAAGCTACCGTATAATGACTATGCAAGTCAATGACTTGTCTAACAGTTTGATTTTGTGACGGTTTGTAGAATCAAATTCCACTCGACAACTTTATAGATTGCGAAGTCATAAGAAAATCTCATGGTTCTCCCTGATAATGCTTATGATTTACAATCATCCTTGCCGCAAATATCAATTCACTCAACTGGTAATATAACAATAAACAACCACCAAACATATAAAAGGGTAAATCAGGTTGTAAATGGAAGTCAGAATGGGTTAAAATGAGAAAACAAAATCCTCCACCGCATTTCTGACATGTTAAAATTGCAATCGACAAATAGAAAACCAAAACAATATCTACAAATTAAAGCACGAGAATTTCAGACAACCTATAAAAAATTAAACAGAAATAAAAGATGGGAAGCGATAAAAGGACCTGCAGTGACGTGACCACCGGGGGAATTGAGGTACATGTGGATGGGCTTGGACGGGTTCTCGGATTCCAAGAAGAGAAGCTGCGCGACGACGACGTGGGAGGTGTCGTCGTTGATGGGGCCGTTGATGCAGATGATCCGCTCCTTGAGGAGGCGGGAGAAGATGTCGTACGCGCGTTCCCCTCGGGAGGAGTGCTCAATGACCATCGGAATCAAGCTGTAGCTGCGCAGAGATGGGTCCCATGGCCTGCTGCTTGCCAGGAGCTTCGCGTTTGAGATTAAGCCTCTCATCGTGAGAGAAACGAGGAGAGGGACTCGCAGGTGAGGGATAGGGTTTATGGGTTCAAACGTTTACTCCAAGCTCCAACAGTTTTTCTAGGGAGACAAGAGAGACACAGTGAGCGTGCGTGTTTTCGGATCTGGGTTGGTTGGGTTGAGATCCTATGTGGTCGGGTTAAGGTTGCGAGTTATGACCGCTGATGAATTGTTGAATTGGGCTCCTTTAAAGCCCGCCAACACCAGCTCCTAAAATCAGCCCATTAATATGTAGTCCATGTCACCCTACGCACACAGCTTTTCATTCGGCCCAAAAATTGCAAGAAACCAAAAAATTATAGTAAATTGGATAAAAAATGGAAAATTATTGTTGGCATTTCAAAATCACTCTTCATATGATTTTTTTTTTCTTTCTAAATATAGAAATTTTCGAATGTATAATTTGCGATTCTGGTGTCCTTGGTGATGGTTCGCCGGATTCCATTGTGGCGACGGTGGCAGCAACTTTCATTCTTTCAGTAGTGGACTTTTTAAATTTTGTCGTTTAATATGGTATTCAAAGTTTGTCAGTATTCAAAGTTTCAAACTCATAACCTCCAGCATACGGAAGAAAACAAGAAAACCTGTGTCGTTGGAATTGTTCAAGAAATGGGCCCAAAAACAATATTTTCTTGGCTGACTTGTGTAATCCATAGAGTATGAAAATTAACGATAATAAATTTAATGAGTTACCAGCTGAAAAATATATATAGCTCAATTAATTAATCACAATACTAACACTATCGTTTACCATATATATGCATTTCTAAAATACAGGTCTTCACATTGTGGTGGCCTTAATAGGTTATGGTATGTTGCGTATTTTTTACTAGAAAATAATGGATTGCGCATAGTGCCGGCGTTTATGGAGGGAACTCCAGCCGGTGTCGAGAGAACACTTTGCGGGCAAAGCTTCCGACTAGAGGGTAGAGGTCGCCGGCGAAGTGGGCTTGGTGGAAGTCAGCTTGACGTTTTGGGTCTTCAAAACTCATAGTTATTGTTGCAAGTTGTTTTTCCATTATACAATAGCCCAAATTATAATTATTGTATTGAATCAAATCCATACGTGGCTAGTGAATTTGCGAAGGCTTACTTTTTGAGCAAGTCTCCTTGGCATTTCTTACAGGCAAAATTTATCATATGCTAGCTTTGCCTTTACAACGTATGTTACAATTTTGTAGAATTTTTTAATCAAAATATTGTAAATAGTTTTTATTTAAATTGTTTGACAAATTGCCCAGACGTGTGCAAGTTGATTAATGTATAAACTATAACTTAGTTTATGGAAATGTATGGAAACTAAGTTAAGGAAGCCTTCTAATAATTATAATTTTAACCAAACGCGTAGCTACGCAAAATTGGCGATAAGAAAAAAAAACGATGTCAAATGTCAAAGTTTGAAATATTGTTTGAAAATAATTGATATACAGTCTTCTCGACGTGCTTCATGGGAAACAAATCCACTCCATTTTTGGATGAAATAAAGTGTGATGGCATAGAATACACCAAATCCATTTTCTCTTGTCTATATTGTGGATAGACTTCGCAAATTTAAATTAGGACATGGATCTTCTCCGGATCCAGTTATCCTAATCCACTTAGTCAAATCATCCAAATCATTAAAATTTAATCAAACGGCTACAAACAGAAGTCCACTTTAAAAATTATAATAACTTTAGTTGTTTGATCAAATTTTAATGTTCCGGATAATTTGACTAAGTAGATTAGAACAACTAGATCCAAAGAGAATCCATCTCCTTTAAATTAAACCTAGTTTTTTTTAGCCTTCATTTATATCGATTCTAAACTTGGTTATTTAATATAACTAACCAATTAAGGAAATAAAAAGTGGCGCGTTAATTTGACGAAATACGTAAAAAGTTTGATTGTTAGAGAATAAGACAAACAGATGTGATTGGCAATTTGGCATGTATACGTGTTTGAGTTTGACGGGGTATATCAGGGGCCACAACTTGTCCAACTCCATCCATCCATTTTCCTCTCAACCACTATAGCACATCAATTTTCACGTGATAATCCCAAACATCCAATTAAAATAAAATCCACCAGAAAAGTTGAAATTTTTTTCTCACAAAAACGATAATATTAGTAAGTTAATATTAATCGTTAAGGAGAGAAAAATCGGTGGGAATTAAAACAGCTTACACAAGTATTTTATGATACATAATATTTTAATGTTTTCAAAATTTTAATTACAGACAAGGCACTAAGTAAGGACAAAATGATGAAACAATCAATATTTCATACGTGCCAATAACATATACTTTCGAAATATCACGGTAGTAGATTACTAATTCTTGATTTGACTGAAGTTCGTTTCCTTCTTTTCCTTTTACCGCACCTCAAATGGTCCAATTTTCGCATGCAAATTCATGGAATAATATTCCGGTGATTCCTCTCGAGAAATCCCTCCAAGACGACCTTCTTCTTGCATTCCTCGGAATTCATATCCAAGGCCCGCGGAGTATTAACATTGGAAACGGAATTATGGTGAGGGGATCCAAATCCATCGGCAGCAGTAGCGGTGGCGGCAGCTGCTGATCTTAGGCGCGGGATGAAGTAAAACCATGCGGACGTGCAAAGGATAGCACACAAACGACCCCATACTAGCATAATAATCAACGTCACCAAAATAATGGACATACCAACCAGTGGGTCCAAATTCTTCCTATTGGCTCCACTCGACTCTCCCTTTGCCTTTACCTTCCCCCTATTATTATTTTTCGATCCGGCGTTGTTTGACACGGTTGTCGACCACGACCACGACGAATAATGTTTACTAAAATTGCGTGTCACTGCCGACGGAGTTGCCGGCGCTGCCTGTTGAGTTTGGCTTTCGCGAGCGGGGAAAGACACGGAGTGTGACAACACGGCGGTTGTTGTCCGAGTACGAGACTTGGGCGTCCTAGCCTCCTGTACAGCCGGTGAACCGGGTTGGCCTTGGTTGCTAGATGCCCCTTTTCTTCCACCTGATCCTGCACTAGTTGTATTTGTTCTTAGTGAATGAATTTTCCGGCAAAACAGATTTTGACACGTGCCATCCTTAGGGGACTCCAAATGGTTCCTACTTCCGAGGTTGATCGTGTTGGTCTGCAACGGCACAAATAATTAATTTACAACAAAGTTAATTCGCGTAACCAATGGAATAAATTAAAGCACAACAATTACATTAAGCTGGTTATTTTCTTCCATACAAGTGATATTGGGGGAGCAAAATCAATCTCTGAAACCTCGAATCTAAAGGTCAATAACTACGAGTGAAATAATGAATATAAATTACTATACCTGTGGAGGGTTTTGGGTAATAGTGTTCTGCGGGTCTGAGACGACGGGAGGCGGCTCAGCCTCTTCCCTACTTGGGGTCCCTGGCGGCTCCCCATTGGTGGTGGCCGCAATTACGTCTTCGGAAATAGAGACGAGGTTACCAGACTTTGACTTGGTCTGCAAGCTGGAGAACTTGACCACCTTGCACGGACGTTTCCGTTTGTCGGTGATGGTGGTTACAGTGGTACCGGAGGCGTCGATGGGGACGGTTTTGGTGGCGGACTTGTTGGTGTGAAACCTCCAACTTGACCAAGAAATCAAATACCAGCTGCGTTGACTAGTATTACCAGTTGAATGTTCACCCTCGATATCAATCTTATGGTTTTCACGATCCTCTCGGATATAGTTGGCTTCCTTTCTGATGATGGGGGCCGACTTTGATCTCCTACTCTGTCTGTGACTCGTCTGCCTAGAAAATCCGAAGCAAGCGAGAAAACAACTGCTTTTTGATTTGGATACGGACGGAGTAGGAGAAGTTGTAGGACTAGGAGTGGGAGTAATGGTTTTCTTTTGGATTTCGGCCATGGAAGTCATGAGATAAAGCAGGAGCGGAAGGCATGGAGATGGATCATGTAGAGAAAGAGAGAGGATGGCTTTCAGCTTTGAAGAAAATACCAGGTTTGGTCGCCCCTAGTGCTCGACCTCAATATTTCAATTTTTATATATAATTCACTATTTTTCTAATGAAAATATTGAAATTAATATGTATTGGTCCCTATTGGTGTATTTTATTCTCATTTTTAATGGTGGCGTTGTTTATAGCTGATTCAGATGTGTAATAATAATAATGGGTTTGGTTATGACTTGAGAAATAGGGATGCGTGACTTTCAAGACTTTGGTGGATAATTCAGAAGAAGAACAAGTCGACAAGTCCTTCTACGTTTTAACTACGTTCGCGCTTCCATCATCTAGCTAGCTTCTTCAATCTACATCAATATTATTCGCCTAATCCTTAATTAGGTGAGTTTGATTAATTTAAACGATAATAATATTTATTAACTTTTTAGAAAAATATTTACATCATACCCCATATTTGGGTGCAAAGGAAGCCATCAGGGTGAGTTACTTAGCTAGATTAACGACGAGTATAAAAAGTCAACTGACTCCAATTGTCTAGTCATTTGCAATACATCGTGAATTACGCTGTCAATCGTTTGCAACCACTTTCAACTCGCTTCGCAACATGATCACGATATTAGAAGAACCAAATTTCACAATCACCTTTGAGTGACCCTCTTAATGCATATTGTTACTTCCCGCATCTCTGCTATATTGTTGTTGTAGTGGTGTGAGTTTAATAGTTGCAACTAATTACTTCATAAGTGTCACATCTCGGTCCAGGATGTGGTGGGGAGCCCAATTCACTGGGAAGTTATTGTGTGAGTTCTTATAAACAAAACCATGAGGACGTGGTCGGGACCCAAAACGGACAATATCGTGCTACGGTAGAGTTGAACCTGATATGTGGTGGGCACTCGAGCCGGAATGTGACAATAAGAATCAAACTTATAGTTAGGCCCATTCATTAATTATATTTTATTTTAGTTTGACTTAAATTTAGGGTGGTGTTATCCATCAATATTCTAAAAAACGTTAGGTGCTAATCAGGTGGTAGGCAGAGGCCTAGTGGCTAGGCGGGAGCCTAGATGGTTAAGGCGGATTTATGTAAATTTATTGTATATCTTGTAAATAAGTGTCTATTTACACTTGAAAAAAATTATGCTTGTAAGGATAATAAACTAATGACAAAATGAAAAAATAGAAGTATAATAATACACAAAGTACATCCATCCAACAAGTTCAATATTTAAAAAACAGTAAGCATATAATCATAATGAGGAGAATTCTTGGATGATAAACTAAATTCTTCTTGGTCATGATCATTACATTGGATTGGACATAGACTAAATTATTTAACCTTGTTGTATCTAGTTTATTTCTATTCTTTATATGTATCCCCTCAAAACTGCCCCAAGTCCTTTCACAATTAGATGAACTTGTAGTCAATATGTCACATCCCAGACCGGCTCTGCCGTAGCACGATATTGTCCGCTTTATGCCACGCCCTATACATATAAGGCATAGAGGATTCAGTCTCTTGGAAGATGTGGGATCTAACATAATCCATTCTTTGCAAATTATGTACATCATTTCTATAAGTATACCACCATGAAACTAAAAAAGAAAAAAAAATCAAACAATTAATAAAAAAATAATAATAATAACAAACTGCATAGGTGCTGCCTAGCCCGTCTAGGACCACCTAGCTCCAGACCAATTTTTTGAAACAATTTGCACTAAATCGCGGCGGGCCTTCACTGCCTAGTCCGATTTTTAGAACACTACTATTCATACACACATTTTTACTTCTCACATATGTGCCTATATTTCGAGCTGTTGGATTGAATGAATTAAAGAAGATCAATAGACAAAAATGACTAGAGTGTGTGAAGTAAAAAATGATGTGTGAATAGCATTACCCTAAATTTATTGTTTTGACAAGTCACTAAGTTTAGCCCAGCGGTGAAGCTGGGTAAAGATAAAAGCAAGAGCAGACAAATCTAGAGTTCAAAACCCTTAATTGTAACAAAAAATAATTAATGATAAAGTACAAAAAACTACCTCAACTATTGAGATTATGACAGTTTCATACCTCATCTTTTAAAATTGACAATGTCATATCGCATCTTACGAATTTGTGATAATGTCATACATCCGTCAATTTTTCTGTTAGCTTTTCTGTTAAATGCTGACGTGGCAATAGATAAGGACCATTTTCTATTAAAAATAATATTATTAAAAACTAAAAAAAAATATTTAATATTTTTTAAATATTAAAATAATAAATAAAAGTAAAATTAAAAAAAAAAAGGTAAAGTACAAAAAACTACCTCAACTATTAGGGTCACGACAGTTTCATACCTCATCTTTTAAAATTGACAATGTCATACCACATCTTACGAATTTATGACAATGTCATACCTCCATCAATTTTTCTGTTAGTTTTTCTGTTAAGTACTGACGTAGCTTGATTCGGGACCTACTTTCTATTAAAAAATTATTAAAAACTGAAAAACAATTATTTAATATTTTTTAAATATTAAAATAATAATAAAAAGCAGAAAAAAGCCTCATTTTGTCCCTCCCCTCCCCCTTCCTCCCTCCTCTCTCCTCTCCCCATCTTCATCTTCTTCCCCCACCTGCAAATCTCAACAAAAAAAAAAAAAAAAAAATCCAATTTGTCTTCCCCCCACACCCACACTCAATTTCCCCACACCTACTCTTCTCCCTCCTGCAACCCAGAAAAAAAAAAAAAAAAAAAAAAAAAAAAGCCCCAGATCCTGTCGGCAGGAAGATGGGTGAGCAGAGAAGGTGGAGGATGGGTGCGGAAGAGAATGTGGAGAATGGATGAAAGTGGTGGATTTGGGGTTTGATGGGTTTTCAAATTTTTTTTTTCCCTTCTTTTTTTCCTCCTCCTCTTCTTCTTCTTCCTCATTCTCCTTCTCCCTTCTTCTTCTTCCTCCTTCTCCTTCTCCCTTCTTCTTCTGCACCGACAGGGGGGAATTTTTTTTTTCCTTCCTCCTTTTTTTCCTCTTCTTCTTCTTCTTCCTCCTCCTCCTCCTCCTTCTCCTTCTTGTTCTTCCGCAGGGGGTTGTTGGGTTTTCAAATTTTTTTTTATTTTTTTTATTTTTTTGGGTTTGCAGGTGGGGGGAAGAAAATGAAGATGGGGAGAAGAGAGAGGAGGGGGAGGGGGAGGGGAGGGACGAACTGATGGTTTTTTTTTTCTTTTTTTTCTCTCTGCTTTTTATTATTATTTTAATATTTTAAAAATATTAAATAATTGTTTTTTAGTTTTTAATAATTTTTTAATAGAAAGTATGTTCCGAATCAAGCCACGTCAGTACTTAACAGAAAAACTGACGAAGGTATGACATTGTCACAAATTCGTAAGATGCGGTATGACATTGTCAATTTCAAAAGATGAGGTATGAAATTGTCCTGATCCCAATAGTTGAGGTAGTTTTTTGTACTTTACCCCTTTTGTTTTTAATTTTACTTTTATTTATTATTTTAATATTTAAAAAATATTAAATATTTTTTTTAGTTTTTAATAATTTTTTAATAGAAAATGGTCCCCGTCTCTTGCCACGTCAGCATTTAACAGAAAAACTAACAGAAAAATTGACGGAGATATGACATTGTCACAAATTTGTAAGATGCGGTATGACATTGTCAATTTTAAAAGATGAGGTATGAAACTGTCGTGACCCCAATAGTTGAGGTAGTTTTTTGTACTTTACTCATTAATTAAAAAAAATCCATTTTAATGTGAGTGATTCTAATTTTATAAGAATCGGAACTTAAAATCTGTATTCACCAAAAAAGGTAGGTTTACTCAGCCGACAAAAAAAGAACTTCCAATTTAATGCGAGCGATTCTAATTTTATAAGAATCGGAACTTAAAAGTTGTGTTCACTGAGAAAGGTAGGTTTATTGACTTAGCCAGTCAGAGCATGTCCATGTTTATTGACTCATAATATGTACATATTTATCGACTGAGTATAAGATAAACAACCTTCCTATAGTTATTTAATGGACTCTCTAAACATCTCATTTAATCTACACGAGAAAACGAGGGATTCCCTCATGGAACTCTAAACTAAATCTGCAGTGATTAAATATAGATATGTGATAAGGCGTGCCTTTCATTTTCGTTATTTGCAACTAATTAATACCCAACATTTTTCAACAATCTAACCCAATCAAATACTTCATTTTCTTTTACTTTGCATCAATCTTCAAGCCAATGGAAAAATTGAAAGTGTTCTTGCTCTCATTTACTTGACACTTCCTTAAATATGTTAATTAGGTTAAAGCTAGTTCATATTGAATCATGCACAACTTAATTATTTGTGAAGTTTGCATGTTTGAAGATCTGAAGATGTAACAAGACTTTATCTAAGCGGCTGTTTGATAATCATTTATTTTTAGTTTTTACTAATTAATGTTGAAGTTGTTCATGGATTAATGAACTAGATATTAGATATACAGAGAGGCTGTAGTTGTAGTAGGTACCTGGTGTGGCATATTTTGCTTTGGAATTGAATATAAACGGCCCCAGCGAATTGATATTTTTGAGTTGCCGACTGCATTTATATATCAAGAGCTTGTGGCAGGAGTTAAGGGTGGCTCCACCTAAACGGGTTGATATAGATAGGTAACTAAGTTTGGGCTTGGACCGAAAATGTTTTTAAATAAAATATTTGTGAGTTTTAAAAGCACTTGAAATGATTTTTGCAACAAGGATCAGTTATGTGTTTCTAACCAAAATCGTTTTTATTCATTTTAAAGCAAAATTTTTATTTGAACCCATTTGTTTTATCTCTACACTCAACTTAACAACTTTGTCCAACAAACTCTCAAATTTGCCCTTAATAAATAAGAAAAAGAAAATAAAAATGGGTGTTTTTCTGTCTACACCCAATAGCCCTAAACCCACCTGATCATTATTTCCGGCGAATCCAAATCAAACTTATGCCAAAATTTATCCCCAAGTCATCAACAACTGTCAGCTCCTTCCATTCTTTTTCTTCTTTTTCCCTGCCTCCCTCGTATCACAACCGTGAGAAGAATATGAACCATCATTTCCTTTTGGTGCCATCGGTGGCATCGAACATGACTCCGCACTTCTCCGTCAACACTAATTCACACCCGCCTTTCTTTCCTGATTGATTAGACCCAA